AACCCTTAACCTTGAATTTCCACAAGCCAATTGAGAGAACCATGCTGCCAAAGTATGTACCCTGAACACGGATTTAGACTTAGCCAAATTCTGCCTTTCTTCTTTCCATCCTTGATAGCTTCTTTGGCAAGTAATTGTGACTTGTAGAAGTGGCCAATTTGGATCATATCAGGCTCCCCCTCTTCAAAAAGCTTTGCCCTCAAAGCTTGTATGATTTTGAAAGCCAAAATAAGACTAGAAGGTACCCAAAATGGGTCTTCAAAAGTGCATCCCAAACGTTCTTCATTGTTATTCAAATCCTCACTGCCTTCTGCCTTGTTGTTAGTCATGGATGATTTTGTGAGAACTAAAGCATATTGATCCTCCACTTCACTTCCCAGATCAATATTGACGATGATCAACGTTGGAAACGCGGCCAGAACCTTCACGATACTCCCCAGCTTCGCGACGAACTCGGAGAAGTCGTCGAAAGTTGAACGGCAAGGATTCGAGCCTCCAATCTGCAATCTACTGCTCGAATCGGCTTGATCCATCATTGAATTATACTTCTCGATCGATTTCCAGCATCGATTGTTTCTGGAACGCGTCGAATGGTCATCTGGGTTTTTCCCGCCGTCGTAGGAAGTCAAATTCCGGGAAACCAGAATTTTGATTTCAGAATTGGGCGTTTCTGACTCAGGAAGCTCCAAGTCTAATTGCTCCTTCCTACAGCTTCCTGGGATCAACCTTGATGGTTTCGCATCATCCGATTGTGTCGAATCAGCTCCAAACTCCCCAACCCATTCAAGCAATTTCACGTCCAGTTCTGCCGTTTCCAGGGAAGTTTTGCTCCAAATCGAATTCTGCGAATCAGCTGGCTTTGGGTCGAGCTCTTTCATTGTTGTCATTCCTGGGGTTGTGTGGACGGAATCGGCTGCATTGGTCGAGTTCGACTGTGCCCCTATTGCTCCGACCAGATCACACAATTGTTCATCATGTTCGGACAGTTGCAGAGGTGTTGGAGCTCGATCAGGCTTCTGCAAATCGGTTGAACTCGAGCCCGCCAGTTCAAGGGAAGAGCTTCCCACTGTCGGAGGAAAGGTGTTGGGTTGCGGGTCTGTGATCAACTCGCTTCCCAGATTGCCAGCCAACTCTCCCTCTCTCATACTCTGCTTTGTTGACGGAAAACAGAGGCGCACAACTCCATCGGACAGCTCTTCCTCAACGAGCTTGATCTCCGGCTGCTGCTCCTTATTTGAAACCTCCATCGCCAGCAGCAATTCCTCCTCGCCACGTACTTGTTTCAGCAACGTGGCTTGATCGTCAGCCGCTTCTTCCGGCGAGAGAAACTTCAAAGCAAAACTTGTCCCACAATGGCGCAACCTGATGTGGTTTCTTCTTCTGCTCCGTCGAGCTCCGCGATCGACGTGCCAAGGATTACCCAGCACTATATGAGTTATTTTTAGAGGAACCACGTCACACCGAACCTCATCCTCGTAGCTTCCAATTTTGAAAGGTAAGGTCACCTCCTCTGTTACGAAAACAGAGCTTCCTGTTTCCAGCAATGACACTGAATGAGGAGCTGGATGTTTTCGAGTCGACAGCCCCAATTTAGCCACTGCACGAGAGCTAATCAGGTTTGATTTGCTCTCACCATTGACGTACACGGAACACACCTTCTCTCCCACCAAACAGCGCGTGTACGACGTCAAATTAGCTTGCTCCAATTCGACCACCATGGCCATTAATTTTGCTGCAGAATTCTTCAAAAATCGCCACTGATTTGAACGGGGCTCTGATACCACTTGATACGCCCCTGGGGGGTGTATATTACCAAAGTCACGCAGCTAACGACTCAATTGAAGAATCGATTGAGCTCGAATCAAGAACGAAGCGTTCTTAATACGAACTTGGATAAAACGGAACCAAAAGGACAAATCCATACATGGGGATACCTCGATTGGTATAAAAGGGTAGTTGCTCGACCACGATTGAAGGGAATATTCAATCGATACAAAGCTCAGCAAGTTTGGAATTCACCAAACCCAAAACAAGTCTCAACTTGCACAAACCAAACGGTTCTCAATTTCGATTAATCAAAGTCTTAGTTTTACAACGAAATAAAAAGCTTAAATAGGCCTAGCAAGGGTTATACACGTCCCATAAACTCCTAATTACAGTCTAATACGAAAAGGAATCAAAAACTACCAAAACAATGAAATCCTAACTAAACAAGAAAAGAAATCTGCCTTTAGCTCCAAGTAACCAAACAGCTTTGATGCCATCTTTGAGCCTCTCGATCAAAGCCTTCCAGGTAAGCTTCCAATCATCCAATGCCATGTCTTTGTAGTAGAACATACCTACTTTCATGTGGTATAAGCCTCTGGACTCGAATCTCATCCATGCTTCTGGAATGGAGCTCCAAAGTAGGCTTCTTGAACACAGTTTCTGCCTTAACCAAATTCTGGCAGTTTTCCAGTTTTGAGGTAGCAACTTTGAGGCCTTGGAAAACAACCTTAATGACATCATATGGATCCACAAAGCATACCATTGGAAAGATGGAAACTTTATCTGCAAAACAAACCCTTAACCTTGAATTTCCACCAAGCCAATTGAGATAACCATGCCGCCAAAGTATGTACCCTGAACACGGATTTAGACTTAGCCAAATTCTGCCTTTCTTCTTTCCAACCTTGATAGCTTCTTTGGCAAGTAATTGTGACTTGTAGAAGTGGCCAATTTGGATCATATCATTCCAATTCTTTAATCACAACTTTAGGGAGGAGAAAGACATACATCCAAAATTGAGTTAAACTGTATAAAACAGTTCTAACCAATTCAATTCTTCCAGCATAAGAGAGAGTTTTAGCTTTCCAGCATGTGATCCGAGCAACAATTTTGTCTATAAGTGGTTTGCAAGCAGCCAAACTTAACTTGCTAGATATTAGGGGTACCCCTACATATCTAACAGGGAAATGTCCTAACTGATAGCCATATCGTTCAGCCCTCGCTACCCTTTCTTCTTGAGGAAGACCCCCAAAGTAGATCTCACACTTACTAGGGTTAGACATCAATCCAGAAATTTCTTAAACTGGTCTAGAATTCGTTGCAATTCCTGAATTCCATAGTTTGAAGCATCCATAAAGATCAAAAGGGCATCATCAAAACAAAGGTGAGTAAGCTTAATCCCTTTACACATTGGATTAGGGAAAACGACCAACAGAAGCTGACTTGTCAAGCAGGCATGAAAATATCTCCATTGCAACTGAGAATAAGTAAGGAGACAGGGGGTCACCCTGTCTAAACCCTTTCTTTGCTGGAAAGTATCCAACCAAACCTCCATTAAAACAAACACTCAGCATAGGGGTGCCCACACACATTCTAATCCAACTCACAAACCTTTCAAGGAGCCCCATACACTTAAAAACTTGGAAAATGAAGTTTCAATCAACCGAATCAAAGGCCTTCATGAGGTCAATCTTCAAAGCACATCTAGGGAGATATTGTTATGGGAATATCTACTTACAAGCTCATGAGCCATTAAAATGTTCTCACCTATAAGTCTTCCTTTAAAAAAAGTCGTTTGGTTTTTACTTATCAAAGAAGGAAGCAGATGACTTAGCCTATTAGCTATGAGTTTTGAAATACACTTATAGAGAATATTACAGCAAGATATGGGTATAAAATTCTTCATGTCATTAGGGTTTGGAGCTTTAGGAATCAATGACAGAATGGTAGCATTAACTGGCCTAGGGACACTATCTTGTTCAAAGCAGAACTGAATAGCAACTGTTACCTCAGGGCCAATCAGTGGCCAAGCATAGTGAAAGAAAGCCGCAGAGAAGCCATCAGGTCCAGGACTTTTATCTCCATCCATACCAAAAAGCACTTCCTTAATCTGCTCAGCGGGGAAGGGATCGCAGATGCCAGCAATCTGATCAACCGTCAAGCTTCCATTTTAACAATCCAGTGATGTAGTCATCAGTTTGAGCCTCAACCTCAGGATCAGCCACTCCAAGTAATCTTTTATAAAATCTTAACAATCCCTGTTGCCAGGTTGCTTGAATTGTGCGACTTTGATTGTATCAAGGTGTTACGAGTTACTCTACCATGCAACACAGGGACACCTAGGTACTTCCCTAGATCAGGGGTGGATTGAATTCCTAGCCTAGTACACATATTGTTTCTATGATAGAATAAAGAAGTGGGAGGAATTCCTCATGCGCAAGCCAAGGGGCGAGAAAATGGAAACGTCTCACTAATTTAGCTCTCCCAGGAACGGCTGCGCTGCAAGTCAAAATCAATCGGTGATCCAATTTGAGCTTAGTCTGGTGGAGAATGTTGGATTGCGGGAACATTTTATTCCACTCATGGTTACATAGGTTGCGATCAAGTCTCTCCTTGATTTTTGAAGCTTTTGGTGAACCATGTGAAACGAGGTCCCTTGAATCCCAAGTCAATGAGGTTGAAATCCTCTATGACATCGTTGAAAGCTCTGGTCTTTGTGAATTTGAACGGAGCTCCTCCTTGTTTCTTAGTAGGTCTTGTGATGGAGTTGAAGTCTCCGGTGATAAGCCATGACTTCTTAATCGCTCTCCCCATCCTTTTCAGAAGTCTCCTCAATTCACCCCTTTCATGTTCATTGGGACTAGCATAGACAACAGTAATCAATCCCACCTCATTCCCTGCTACAGAGCATTTCAAGTGAAGGAATTGCTTATGCTTATTCACTTCCTCAAGTTGCACTTGTTTGTTTTCCCATATAAAACCCAAATATCACTGCTAAATCCCTCTGCATCAGAGACTTTCCATGAGTCAAATCCCCGTGATCTGATCACTATGATAGCATCTTCCTCACTAGTTCTTGGTTCCATAACACACACAACATTCGGTGAATGAAGTCCCTTATAGTACTCCATGGTCGAGCGAAACTTGTGGTGCTTCGCACCCCTGCAATTCCAGGTAAAGACTTTAATCATTGCTATTGAATGAAAAGTCCCACACTGACCAAAAGGTCAAGATTATCCGGCTATATCGACAGCAATAGTCGTCTCTTCCGACTTGGAATTCACATTGTTGCTTGATGTCCTTGCCGAGGTTGCATTTTCTGGCACAGATTGCTTCTCGCCTTGCTTTGGATTAAAGTCAATCTTTCTAAGGATGTTAATCCCAGGGTCAGGGGTGCTTTTGTTCTGACTAGAGTTCCCCTTTCCAAATCTGTCATCAGTTGGAGATTTACCTCCTGCCTTCTCCTTGTCTTTGTTCTTTTTGTTTCCTGATCCTCCCTTCTTCTCCGAGCTTGTAGCATTCCCTTGTGAGGGGTGGCTAATACGTGGTGGAGTACCCTTACCATGATCCTTGGATTCCATGAAAATTTTCGATGGTTGAGGACTTGATCTACTACTTGGGGTATTACTTTTGGTCTTCGTTTGATTAACCTCAGGTGAGACCTTTTGATTTCCTTTCTTGTGCGAGGACCACTGTTTTTCTTATGTTCTTTTTATTTTTGTGGGTTCTCCTATTCTCTCTTTCCTTGGCTTTTCTTTCCCTGTGTGCTGCCATTTTCAACAATAGCTAAGTTCCCTTCTTCCACTACTTGGTTATGCTTGTCCATGATCTCATCATCATCCCTTTCCTGCTCTTTTTACTTGTCAGGTTGTTCACCATCATCTCCATCCTCAGTAGAATTAGCCTCATCATTCTCATCATTGTTATCCAGTGCATTAAACCTTGATCCATAGGATTTGGCTTCTGATTTTGTGTCCTTCTCAGTAAGATTCCCTTCTACTTTGTTGTTCTTATGGTTTTGCTACTTCTTACTCTTTTTTCTTGTGGTCAACATCAATGGCCCATAATATTCAAGAACCTCGGTCGAACAACATGGTTGGTACTGTCCAATTCACTTTCCTTCATCCTTTCTTCAGTCGTAGTATTCTCCTTCATCTGTCTCAGTGGACAATTTTCCAAAATATGGCCATAATGTCCACAGTTGAAGCAAACCATATGAACTCCTTCATACTCAACCCTCCTAACTCTTCTCTTCGGTCTATACTTCGAGACTAACATTTTCCTGAGATCAATTTCAACACAGCCTAGCATAATTCCCTCTGAACCCATTGGTTGTGGTTGTAGTCGATCTTTTTAACTCTGCCAAGTTTGCTACCAATATCCATTAGGATTTCTTCATCAAAATAGGCCAGTGGGAGCCTAGGCAGCCTAACCCATACTGTCATTCTGTTAATAACGTCATAGTCTAGGTCAAAATCCAATCTCCATGGCTCTGAGACAATGTAATGATCTTCTACTATCCACGGTCCACCATATAGAGCCTACTATATTCCAATTGTGAGTCAAAAACCGCTTGGAAATATCCATTCTCAATCTCCAATCTTAATGCCCCCAGTTTTTGCCCACATCCTATGAACTCTTGTTTGAATGAAGGCAAAGGGAAAGTCTTACCCAGAATCCGGAACGTGATTGTCCTTAACCATCTTCGTTGGACTCTCACGTAGATACGTTTTTTTATTCGAACGGTGGGGCATTCCGGGTCGTTCTCTCCATCTTCCCCATCTGATTCGTCCTACATTAATTCGTCACAATTAGGGATTTGGGGTGCTGGCTTATTCCCAAGGATTGTAACTTTGTAGGATGCCCTCACTTGCTCCTCTTGCATATCCATTGTTGAATCCAAAAAGATGGATATGGGTAAAGTTTGATTGGTTTGTATCCATACCCATTTACTTGGGTTGAGTTGGGTTTTTAACAAATAGACATTAGAGTGGTCTTAGCTCTGGAATATTCCAAAAAAAAAATAATGAAAAAATAAGAACATTGTACCCATACCCAAATGCAAATTACAGTTTGGTACCTAAACTTAATAGATATGCATATTTAGTACCTAAATTTTTTTTTTTTGCATATAAGTCCTCAAAATATCAATGGAACATTACATTTTAGTACCTAAAATTTTATGGTATTACATTTTGGTACCTAAACTTAATAGATATGCATATTTAGTACCTAAATTTAATTTTTTTTGCATATAAGTCCTCAAAATATCAATGGAACATTACATTTTAGTACCTAAAATTTTATGGTATTACATTTTGGTACCTAAACTTTTCAAGTTTTACAAATAGGTTCAATTTGTATGTGTAGTCAAAACACCCTCAAGTAAATAGATATCTATATCCAACCCATACCCCATACCCATACCCATTTAGATTATGGAAGCAATATCCATACCATACCCTAACTCATCTACAAACCCCCAAACTCATATGCACTTCACCCATACCCAACTCACTATCAATGGGTCTACTTGGATTTGGGTATAATTACCCATGATGGGTGGGTAATTGCCATCCCTAGTCACATTCGATTTCTTGCTGGGTGTACAGGCGAATTAGGGATTTTTTCCCATAATACACATGTTTTTAAAAAAATTCTCAAAACACACGTTTTACGAAAAATTCTCAATCTACACATGTTTGGGCATCACCGCGGTTGACGGTCGTGATGAATGCCTGACCTAAGACTGAAACTTCAAACGAACGTAACTTTGCGCTCGTATATCTGATCGTAGCAAAAATTTTCTTATTCCGCATAAATTTTCAAGATCTATCCATCTACAATCCCCCTTCATCCCATAAATCGTCGTTTGCTACCCCGAACGAGCAATTTTTCAATTTCGACAAACTTTGGAAGACCATAACTTTGTGCTCCGCAATCCGAAAGTCATGAAACTTTTTTTTTATTTCACATAATTTTTGAAGGACTACAACTTTGATCATAACCATAATTTTTGAATGTATGTGGATTTGTGAAAAGTATAGGCAAAGTTCCCAAAACTCGGTATACCTAAAATATTTCTTTTTAGGAAAATTCTTTCCTATTAAAAGTTTTAGTTCTTAAAAAATTTATGCGCAGTAAAAAAAACTTTATGACGTTCTAATTGAGGTGCAAAAAGTTATGGTCTTCCAAAGTTTGGCAAAATCGAAAAATTGCTCGTTCAGGGTAGCAAACAATATTTTTTTGGGATGAAGGCATGTTGCAGATTGAAAGATCTTGAAAAGTTATGCGAAATCAAATTTGTTTCTGCTTATAATGGAATAACTGAGGGCAAAGTTACATTCGTTTGAAGTTTCAGTCTTAGGTCAGACATTCACCTCTTTCGTCTGCCGCAGTGATGTCCATACATGTATAGATTGGAAAGTTTTTGGAATTTTGGAATTTTTTCCGGCGAATTAGTGGTGACTGGTGAGCTGTCCGCCTGAGAACTGCGGACATGTTCTCTGGGCTATTTCGCAAAGGACGATATTTGTGTGCAAACCGGGTTGTAGGAGCAGCCTGCAAACTGTCCACCCGGCAACATATGATTGGTTGCCTTTTATTTTTTTCCCTCTTTATTAAACTGTATTACTAAATAGGCTAACGGATTGTTCCACTCTAAAATACACACTAACGGGAGCAGCCTGCAGACTGTCCATCCGGCAACATATGATTGGTTGCCTTTTATTTTTCTCCCTCTTTATTAAACCGTATTACTAAATAGGCTAACGGATTGTTCCACTCTAAAATACACACTAATGGGAGCAGCCTGCAGACTGTCCACCCGGCTACATATGATTAGTTGCCTTTTATTTTTTCCCTCTTTATTAAATACACTAACAATTACAAGAATATCTTAAATACACTAACAATTTTGTTTTTATGGATGATGTTATTCCCATCGCGATATCAATTTATATGGTAATCATTGGTATCTTGTAACAATTGGATGTGCTTTGTTATTTCGACGAATCATAATTATTGTAACATCCCGTTCCGGCAAAATCCATATTTCGATCGTTAGAAAGTTCGCGATTTAAAATCGAGCATTTCAACACTATTTCGACGAAAATCGGATTATCGATCGATCGGATAAGTATACGTATTAATTATATATATATATTAATTAATTGGCTCCCCACATATATATACATTTCCCCTTCTTTCCCCCTACCATAATTCCATATCTTCTTCCTGTTCCATTAAATTGGACCGAGAGAAGCAGAGCAAGCGAAGTTCAGGGGAACGTCGGGGGAAAAATTCCCCAGCTCGATTCTTAAGCTACAATGATCCAAAAATCCCGTAAGTAATGCCTAATTCATCCATACATCGTGATTTATCGATTTAGAGATTTAAAACGAGTTTTTGGATCAGGAATTTCTTGAATTCTCGATAAGCCAAATTAGGGTTTCGGAGTATCCGGAAGCCGGATTGAGCCCAAATTTCATATACGAGCTTCCTGCAGCGAGGTAATCAATCCTCTAGTTCTAATCCCTGAATTTCGGCAATTATTTAGGCCGGGGCCCAAACCGCTGAATTTAGCTCCGGCCAGGGTTTGATGTGTTTTTATCGGGAATTTGACCCGGAGTCCAGAACTAATATTGACGGGGATACTGCAGGGGATATTAGGACGGTCTCGGATTTTAATTCGGGGTTCGTTCGTGAAAGTGACGTTTTACTACGGGAAGGTTAAGTCGGTGTTTGAACGGCCAGAACTAGTGAGGGATTAGCACGGCATACCGGGTTTGTCGTATCATGATTATTATATTGATGCTTAGAATTGACCTAGGTGAACTAGAATGGCATGATTAGGGGTGTATGAACTTTTGTGCTATATGTTGAACCCTGGATTGCTGTATGATATTATTGACTTGCCCTAATCAATATGAACCTTGTTTATGCTGATGATTGTGTATATGTTGCAAATTGTGGGCTTGACTGTTAATATGCTTTACGAGGGTTCGAAAAGGTGATTGGGTATGATTTTTCATGATTGTTGTATTTGGATGCACAAATGGGAAAATATATATTCCCTGATAATATTATGATGTTTAAGGATGATGACTTGCACGAGGGTTTATCCCGAGGAAGTGCAATTATACGACTCCTGATTTACCTATGTTGAGCCAATTATGGCCAAGTCAAGTACATGTGTAAGTAATGAATTATGATTAAGCAAGATGAGATATGAATCATGTATAAGGATACCAAATATGAGTGTTGTGGTCTCACGGTCAACTACATAGTAATTAGGGCTCCCTATGCTATTACTCTATTATGATATGTATGATAGTCACACCTCTCATGTGGTGGTGACTGAAGAATTCTTACGAGATATGACCACACCCAGAGTGGTGTCGGGGTATGACTACACCCATAGTGGTGTGGGGTATGTATGACCACATCCGACAGGATGTTGGGGTATGTATGACTACATCCGACGGGATGTGGGGTATGTTTCCCGGGAGAGTTATTAGCATGGGAGTAGCCAGGCGCCTATGATTAAAACATGATAAGATGCATATGCATAAGTCAAAGT